AAGCTACGGGAAATCGAAGATAGTGGTAACGTACTGTGCTAATTTCTCGTCCTCACGGAGATCAAGCCTGATGTGATGGGTCAGCGACAAGACCCCGGGCAGGAGGGAACGACATAAACACCTGCCGCTGGAGCTCGCTACCGCTTTCACCGCGAGCATTGAGTGCGTTGCCGACGAGACCGAAGAGGGTCTGCAAGGCAGGGAGGAAGAGCGCCCGGTACTGGTGGTAGCAATTGTATGTCGAATAGAAGGAGTATGAGATGTTCGAGCTGTTGCTAATTCTCTGACTGTTATGTTCCATTCGACCAGCAGAGTCCCAATTATATTGCATTGCAGTGCTCCCTACTAGACGCTTCGTCGAGACTTCGAATGGCTTCTAGGAGTGACGACAGTGAGGGTCCACATCATCTACACGCTTTACAACTCAGAAGATGTTTCAGGAGCTTTCTGTGCATTGCGAGTTGTGGATATTCCTTGTCGTTTGGACGCTCTGGCTCGGACATGACGCCAAGGTTCGTGTCAGACCTCGGTGAATGTTGACGTTTGTTTGGAATACTTCCGAATTCGTCACTCACAGTCCGGCGCTACTATTCGACAAGAGCTTCAGCTGGAGTACGCACAGCCGGAGGCCCGGGAGACCTCCTGAACGACGAGTGGATGTTAGATAGATATAGGTAGGCAGCTCCAGCGTGGCGGCGCCCATTTTGGTTTTCCTGACGAGGTACTAGTGGGTATCTACCCACTTTGCCGACCTCGTACTATCCTGCGGTTCGATGCCGACCAGAGCAACGAACCGAGTCGACCAGTACCAGAGAGTCGGATTTTCATCTCAAAAGCTGTGGTATGATCTATATGCCTATTTATGTCACAAATAACAAAGTTTCCAACGGGCTATGTGACGGGGGGTTATTAAATGACAGGGTATGTATACAAAGGGACTCTGGAGAGCGCAACAGAGAGCGTTCGAGTCAACAAGAGTATTGACATTGACCGAAATTGCCGTCAGTATCGCTACCCCCTCTCAATCTTCACGCGAAGGTGGGCATCCCTGCGGCGTCGCTCAACCAGGAGGTAGCTCACTGGGGAGGGACGTCAGACGGACCCTCTCGCTGAGGTGACGACCAAGCTCACCTATGAGTCTCTCCATAACTTCTGTCACTTCTGGCTGAGGCTTGACTTCGAGCCAGGCGTGCTTCGACATGCGGAACGCAAAAAAGTGACGCTTGTGTGGGTGGAAATCTACGACGGGCTCCTGCTTCCCATCAGCATCCTTCACGAGCTGTTCGCAGACGACACTGTTAGACGCGCTAACCTACAGACAGCCGAGGGTTGCGTACCTGCAAGTGACCTTTGTGTGTTCTCCATTGATACCGGATGTCCGAGGGACCGGTGAATGTTCCCCCGCTGATATCGCACCAGATGAGCTTTAGAGAAGAGAGGGGAGGAAGGGAACTGACATCCTGTCTTCCGAAAAGTTCAGGAACTGTGATGCCGGCACCCACTCGCCCTTGTCGCCGTCGAAGCGGACGCGGGGCTCCTGGCCAGGGTTGCGCTCGATCTCTGCAACAGTGTCAACCACCAGATTTTCGAAGTCGCATCTGTTGATCTTCGTTATGTGCGGGTGCCAAAATCGGGTAACAATCTCGTAGTGGATGGAGTCGTCAGCAGAAGCGATCGCGGTGTTGCGAAGGCTGTTGGTGCTAAGCTCAAGCCTATGTGGGGGCTGAACCTTTGGTGGCGGCGGCATCTCGAGATGGGTGGCGGAAGGCTGAGACGGGCCCAGAGTACGTTGAAGGAATATAAACCGGCGGGATGTGCCTGATGGTGCTGTCACCGTTCTGAGAAGGTGCCTGATATAATGAAGACTGCTTCCCGACAGACCTCCGGATTATTGGCGGCCGCACGTCAGGATGCGACAGAGATGGCAGACCGCGACCCCACAGTCCTGCGATGATCCGGATATGAAAGGAATGGAGCCAATGCGCGTTCAGCCCGGTAATGATTGGCTGCTTTCAGCCGAAGCAGGGTCCGTGCGAGAGGTCCATTTCAGTAAGATCGGCCTCCTAGAAGGGTAACGTTATCCCATGAGAGAGACGACAGGAAGGTGGAAACGTGGAGACACAGCTGCTACATCGTGGCGTTGTCGCATATAGGCCGTACAGGATGTCCACTTGACACGCCGTCTGTGGGAAGTGACAGCCGGTCGGAGGGTATAAGCCTGAGGGAAGCCGTAGCGGGCAGCCCGGAGCGCACTGACCATAGCCCGAAAGCACAGTGCGGCGTCGGCACAAGATGCACGAGTCACTGCCATATCCAAAGTGTCCCGCCCGATCATGGCCCGTGATGAGAGAAATAATGGCGCTTGAGCTTAACCCTTGGACACACCGAACGTTGCGCAGCAGGCGCCGCGGTATCATCGATGGTGTCGGAATATGTAGCGGAGGTTAGTCTCGCAGGACATGGTCCCCTTGCTTTGGTGATAATGAGTGTCAAAGAATTGAAGACGCTGTCTGCAACATGCCACACAGCGTACGTTAGCAGATAGCACGTTTCACTCGAGAACCCGAAAACATACCATGACCATGTGAATGCCTGCCTCACAGGCGTAGCCATAACATTGCCCGCGCGTGTCCACGGGTCCGTTGCTCGTGGTCCTCACGAAAACACCCTGGGAAGTAGAATCTGTTCCTGATAGTGAATTTCACAAGGGCGCGCATGTTGAGCCTCTGATATTAATGTACAGCGTGCGACATGTTGTTGAAACGTTGTATTTCGCATTTCGACGCGGCGTCGTGAATCGTCGTGGTCGCACGAAGACAGAAGAGGTCAGAAAGCCTGTCACACCTCGATATCGTCACGCATCACGACCAGCGCCTTGATGGTCCGTTACGCGGGACCCGTCCGTGTGTTCTACCACGACGACGACAACGACGACAACAATTGCGACGGCGAAAAAGGGGTCTGAGCACCAAAGATACTTTCTAAGGCTACAAAACATCCCTGTCCCAGTAATTTATTCTCTCTTGTCTCGGAACTCTTTGGACGTATCGCACCAGGTTCACTTCACCGTACCGTGACCTCCGCCCTGTTTTCTTGGGTATGTGTAGGAGTCAGTAACATCTTATCATCCATCTGCTAAGGCGAAATCATCCAGTCAGACTTAGAAACGTCGTTTATTGCTGTGCTTAAGCCAGTACGCTTGATCTGATACCACTCGCATGTTCGCATTGCCAATGCATCAACGGTCAAATCTCCCGCAACGTTCAGACAGTCTTGGCGCTGCGAAGGCTGCTGCGTTTACGCAGATTGAAGATGAGCTGCGGGATGTAAAGCGTGCTCACTCGCAAGGACAGGAAGAGGACCTGCGAATGGCGTTGTCTCGGACGATCAGCAGGGTAGAGGAGCTCGTAGGCAAATCTTCCTTCTTGATACTCCTTTAAATGACTGTGTATTTTTCTGATATAGATCTTAATGTTGAAAGAAGCCTGCAAGGCGCAGACGGATCTACAGACCGAGCTGACGCTTGCGAAGTCAAACTTGCAGCTCGCGCTGGCTAACAATGAGATGCTTGAAGATGCACTAAAGCGCGATGGTGCAGCACATTCCAAAGACGTCGGGTGGAGACGATGGAGTGCCAAGGAGCAGCGAGAGCGCGAATTGGCGGATCCTCGGCGACAGAGTACGGAGAGCAATGCTTCTCTGCCGGAATACTCTGCACCTTCTCCAGCTGCCCCGTCTCCGCTGCCTTCCACCACTGAAGGCCGCTTCTTCAAATTCCGCTTCGGAAATCAGAGCACTCCTACTGCTGGATCGCCTCGAATAGTGTCCCCAAATCCGAATAGCCATCCTGCAGCGGCTCACCTGACTTCTGCTTCATTACCGTCGCTCATTCCCACCCGTGACCAAGAGAAGGAAATGGAAGAGCTACTTGCACAGCTGGAGCGGGAGCGTAAGGCACACAAGACCGCACAGGCAGCAAAGGAGCAGCTTGAAGCCGAACTCGAGTCGTTGTCCCAGGCGCTATTCGAAGAGGTCAGTACTGCTTGCATGACGTTGTTGTACGTCAACGTCTCACCTCGCCACAGGCCAATAAAATGGTCGCTGCAGAGCGCATGAAGCTCGCCGACACGGAGGAAGAGCTGAAGGAGGCCATGGCGGAGAAGGAGGCTCTACGGAGTGCGCTAAAGTTGGTCGAGCATCAGCGACAAGAGGCCGAGAGTCGTTCGCCATCGCCGCTTCCGAGCCATACCTTCGCATCGTCGTCCCCATCGTCTGCGCATCACTCCCACAAGCGATCGTCGTCCTCTGCCATCGCGGTTAAATCTCTGCCATCTTCCCAGCCGTCGTCGATACCGTCATCCCCTCGGTCAATGGTGCGAATTGTCGACGAACCTGCGTCATCGTCAACGCGAGCCCCTGCGCCGCCTCCGCTCAACTTGCCTGAGGTCGGACTAGCTCTGGATGATGCGACAGATTCGTCGCCGACAGACAGCGACGAGGCCAAGGAGTCGGCTGAAGAGGAAGAAGCAGAGCCCACTGCCGTTGAGCCCACTCATCGCGAGTTGCTCTCTCCGCCTGAAATGTCCGTGACCGCCGCCTCCTCGATCGCGCATTCACCGTCGCCAGGCCAATTCGGCTTCACAGCTGGACGACCTTTGTCGTACTTCGAAACTGAAGAGTCGCCATGGGCAGATGTCCGTTCGTCCACCCCCGTCACCGCTGCGTTCTAATGGCGTGCCTCCTCTTTGTCGTCGGACTCCGGTAGTTACGTACACTACACATTGCTTATTTATCGCCGCTCGCTCTCTCCTTATCCATACATACAGTGCATGTAGCATAATTATTCACATTGTGGAAATACCATATCCCATACGTTACCAAAGCGTATATCTCGGGCAAGGCTGCAGGTGTGCGTTGTTGAATGAGAGACAGGACCGGGAGAACAAGTTGAATCATGAGGAGCAGGAGTGTACAGTGAACGTGGATCGAAGAGGGAGAAAAAGAGCAGCGACAACACCTAGAGTAGAGATTTTAGTCCTCTGGTACGTATGAGAGCACAACAAGGAGCAGAGGGAAAGATACGGTAGAAATTTGGATTAGAGATCCCTTAGCTTTTCGCTAAACATTGAAGTTTGTGAACTGGCTTCCTCTACGCAGCCTCAGACATTGCGATGTCTGCGACAAACTCAGCGGCGGCAGGAGTTGCCTCTTCCTCAGCGGGTGCGTCGTTGTCCTTCTCCTCAGCCTTCTCAGAAGCGGTCTCCGGCGCAGCCTCCTCCCTAGCGTCGATTTCCATGCTATCCTTCGCTTCATCCTTCTCCTCGGTGGCAGACGTAGCCTCTTTCTCCTCTTTGCCATTCGCATCCTCCTTTCCGTTCGCGGTGCCGGCTTCTTCCGTATGCGGCTTGCCGTTAGTAGCCGGCTTACGGACGGCGCCCTCAGAGGCCTTGCTGGCTGACAGCCGTAGTCTTCAGATAGTATGTCAAATAGATTGCCGATGAGAGGTAGCCCCCTTTTGGGCCAGGCAGATAGTGTCGATGTCTCTGAAAGTGAACAGCAAGCAAGTAAACAGATATGAGACACGTCCATAGATATATGAGAGAAGAACAAGAAGACAGAGGGAACTCCATGGCGAG